GAGCGAGCGCATTTCTTGGCGAGGAGATGGTCGCAACGGCTTCGTTTTGAAGTGGGTTGGAAGCAGAACGAGACGGATGCATTTTCTTTTGACAAGGAGGGTGAAATAGGGTCGCTAGTGAATAAATGATAAAAAAAAAATCGGATAAATGAAAGAAATGGGTTCTAAACTGGTTTGGAGTGCGTAAAAAGAATGTTTGGTCTTGCCCGGACTTGAACCGGGGGCCTTCTCCACGTCAAGGAGACGTGATAACCGCTACACTACAAGACCTTGCGTGTACATTCACATTTCATAACGTCTAAATTATATATACAATCCACTTGATTCATCCAGCTCCCATACGCTCCAAAAACACCTCTTACCACCTCCTCCAAGACATCACACCGCACAGGCATAGGCATGCGGCTCGCGCGACTTTTGTCTATAAAGTGTACTAGTAGTTAGTCGTCCGATAAACGCCAACCAAAAATGAAAAAATATATACCACGTTCGCTAAACTATTAGAGATGCAGCGGAAAGGCATGCGCAAAGCGCTCTTCTTTGGCCGCGCGGGATTGAGGCCGCGGCGTCGGGAGCGCGGTCGACACGAAGCGCCACGTCTTGATATCGAGGAGGTAGATGTGCCCCTGGCATTTCCACGACAAGACGCCTGCCATGATGGCCGACGTCGTGTCAATGTAGTAGACGCCATTGGCCACCCAGTGTTTGAACGTGAGCATGTGATAACCCTGGGCGTTGAGCAAGAGCGGAGGCGTAAAAATTGGTGTCAAATTCGGTGACGATCGGCGCGCATACAGGTAGCAAACCACGCACGCCACGAGTGCCAAGCCCATACACTCGAGGCAGCGGCGCTGGTCACCGAGTACAATGGTGCCGCTGTCGCAATAGAGCGCAAAGTCCAAATTCAGAGCCGAGCACTTGCGCTGCATCGATGCGTCGTACGGCTGCGGCGACAGCAGCGTCCAGAGCGAGGCAAGCACCCACGTCCAGTTGGCGCTAACCGAGCCATACGAGTACGTGTACTGCCGCGTGAGCGCGCTTCCAACGTCGTTGAGGACGTAGACAAACCAAGTGAGTTCGGACGTGGCGAGGAGCGCTTTGTACGAGTCCAATGGCGGCGCTTT